TCGACCACAGGCTGAATGAAGCAAATAGCGTTATCAGAAGTAGTTGCCTGATCACCGTTTGCATCATGTTAAGTGTTGTATCACAGCAACTTACAATGTCGACCTAAGTGGGTGGAACACCATCAAAACGTATGTTGATGCTTATCATGCAACTTCCTCCTGGATCAAGTAAATACAGAATCTGTCCTTTCATCACTGAAAAAACTGTTTTGAGCGGAAACTACATCCAAGTTGATATCGACAAACTCTGTAGGGTCAGGGCTACAACTCAGTGTGCATTTGGAGTCTCCTGGTCTAATCCCAGGGCAGTGGGGTTGGTCCAAAAAAACTGTATTTTCAGTCCTTGAGTACTACTTCTGACTCAAGAGCTAAATTTGAGCCATCTTCTCTCTCTTCTCCGGGCCAGGTATATCACACAACAAGTAAGAGTGAGGGGGAGGATGGACCCATTCATACATGAATGCATGAATGCATGAATGATGCGGACTGCTTGCACAATAGATGGAGAGAGAATGTTCGATAGAACAGAGTGGCTATCCAACATACAGATTCAGGGTTTCTTCTCAAGATTGTGTCCTCAATAGCGATCTAAAATACGACAAGATTCGGATGATACCACCGACGCAGACGACGAAGAGGACCACTTCGTAGAAGCATTCGCGTCAGATGTAGACGAAGAGTTGATATCTATGATGTGGCTAGTTGGTAAGAGAAGCAAGGTTGCCAAGCCTCAAAGTCAAGATGCTAAGAGACATGTGCAAACATTCTGAGCTCGCATTGAAAATGTGAGATACGAATGCAGCACCTCTTGCATAATGGAGGAAATGATTTCGGAGTGCAGTTGTTACGCAATCTAGTTATGACGTCCACCCGTCATGCGAATGCGGTGTCCTTTTTCACAAGAACTCTCCAAACTAATGAACAGAGACTGCTATGCAAACAAGTGTGACGACCAAATTTTTTTCCTTTCAGCTAGAAATCCGAGCAATCGCTGCTTTATTAAGACGCGAGAAGTATTCAGGACGATTACACGATGGAATTACGTGACAGAGTCACTGGTCACGGTGTATTTCAGTGTGTGCTGTTATCGCCCGTTACACTAAATAGAATCCTGTAGTTTGGTTTGAAATGTTCATACAGGTTTGAATAGCGTAAGCTGTCAGAACTCAAATATGAAATAACAGAAGCCAAATTTTTAAAAAAGAGTTTGTGAGCGCTAATCAAATTATGATATTCGATACGTTGTTATTGACGTCTTTCGTCACGAGATGATAAAATTTGTCAAATTTTGGCCTTTTAAAATGCTTAAAGTATTAATCGGTGTGGTCTTAAAGCTCTTTCCTTCTACTTAAAATGATTAAAATCTAAGATTTATTGAGCAACTCATATAAAACGGTCGGAGTTTGCTCAATGAATTAATTTGCATAATCGGCTGTCACGCTAGCAGTATCGCCTAAAGTACGAAGTCACCCCGGTGAAGAAAATAAATAAGTGCAAGATGTTTTTATATTTTCTGCAGCCAAACATCTTATTAGCAGAAATCAAGCGGAGTTTTTAATGGTCAGGTCTGGACTTGAGCAATATCAACCAAGAAAGAAAGAGTACTTTCGACCACTTTCAGAAAGCTGTCCAACGAGTGTTTTAAATAAATTATGACGAGCCTCTGAATAAACAAATATCAAAATTGAAATGCATTTTATACACCTTATATATCACACAGTTTAAGGATACAAAATATTTCTTACTGCATGCGGTGTGACGCGAGGACCGGGCTATTCAACTTTTGAAATTTTCGATGTTGCAAGAGGTCGAAAAAGGGCCTTTTGAAGTTTTGACTTTTGAGAGCTCTAAAAATGTTATTTTAACGTATTTCCAGAAACTAATGTGGTTTTATTTACTTGTTACCAAAGATAGTTTATTAAGCAAAATTTGGGGGAAACTTTTTTTTCTGATGCGAAATGCCCTGGACTGCTCTTACAGAGATCGCCATTTAATAATGGTAATAGGACCGATTGGAGTCTACCTTGATCTGTAATCATACGAGTGATCAACAAAATCGGTCGACCGCGAAGCGAGAGTCCGATTTGTTGATCACGGTATGATCACAGATAGAATTGGACGACAGGAAGTCCTGTTACCAATTAATCAAAACTATGACAAAATTCCAGAAAGAAACTAGGTCAAACCGCGGCTAGACATCGGTTATACGTTTTCTTAAAAAAAAAAACAACAACAACAACAGATAACTCGGCGAAATGCGAGATAACAGCGCGCGCCCATGATGCGTTCTGTCCACTCGTACAGGCATGACATGTTAAATGTCCCTTGAACTGTCCTATTACACTTTCTTATTACAAGCATGACGCGCGCAAATCGGGCTAGTGATAACCAATCACGTTCGTGAATTTTTTTATGGTTTTGAATTTAGTGAGAACATGATAAGAAGGATGAATGATAAACGTAACAGTGAACATGGCAACTCTGTAGCGTTTAGCTCTACAATAATCAAACAACGAAACATTTTTCATAAGTGAGGTGCAGTTTTTTCATGTATTTTGTCTACAACCACTTTAATCATTTCGCTTTTCAAGCTAATTGTTTAGATCTAATGCAAGGAAGCACAAAAGCCATATTTTTTGTCTAATTCAAGATTGCGGCACACATGTTGATTTTTTTCTCAGAAGAAATCCGACGTCGATCTAAAAAGCTGAGAGTCTCGAAACCTCTAACTTCTAACCAAAAACTGCCGACCGCGGTTCGACATTTGCGATGAACACTCCAAAGATGGAACTAAAACTCTTTACTGACTACAGATAGTAATTGATACTTGGAGGGTGCAAAGGCGACGGTCTCTGTTTCAACACTTTGTTGTGATAAGTTTTGTCGAAAGGTTTTGTATTTAAGCGTCAAGAATAATTGGACAATTGCCTGCTTCATAAATTGTACAAAGTAGCAGTTACGACATCCTATGATTTAAATGATTTAAAGTAGTAGTAGCCGTTGTCTGGATGGCTTTTTTTAAATAGTAACTGAGATTCGTGTAAATTAATCCTAGTAAATTATCAGAATCATACATCCCTTCTTCTTTTTAGTTAGCAGTTCCTATTCAGCTATTTAATTGGAGATCTATTCAGTGCATGTTGATTTGTTGTCACAAATCATCCTTAGTGTCAACCTCAATAATTTTCAAATTATTTAGTTAGTTTTCAAACGTCCTTTTCTTAATTATTTTCTTCAAGATTTCTCAGGAGCATCTTAGCCGGCAAAACATGCTTAAAAAGTGTATTACGCATCACTGGGAAATTTGCTTCAGTCTTATTTGTTATTAAACTGAAGTCATACCTTTTCCTAGATCACAGACGCTTTGATCACGCCACGTACCATCACGTAGCTAGCTTAGCGTTGTTATTAAATATCCTGTAGCTATTACAGTCACAGGATCACGAGCAAGCTATCCGATTTGATTTTCCATTTGGCTACCTGGCCCTTTCTATTATGCAAGTTGGCAAAAAACTGAAGAACCTTAGGCCTTCGTAGTCGTACCGTACATAACTTAAGTTTGTACTTAAGTTGTGCCGTCTTTATCGTTTGGTTTCGTTTAGTGGTAATGGACTGTTTCATGCTCTCCATTTTCCTTCTTCGGCATTCACACAATTGTTATTTCCTAGGCAGACAAAGCCTTATCCATTAACTCACGTTTCAATTTGTTATCAGTCTCACCAAACACATTTGTGACACTTACGGTCCATTCAAACAAACGAACCTTCATGGAGTTCCATGGGAACTGATGTCACGTAAATGTTTAAATGTTAACCGTATGTCAGACATTATTTCCTCGTATAAATTTACAGATACACTGGCCACTGGTTCCAAAGGGTCAGTGGTTACGAGCATGAAAGAGAACTTGAAAACTAAATATAAAAACTGTACAACCTGATAAAAACCAAGATCCTTAGTATCAATTCTGTCCAGTGGAATGCGGTGTCTAGTACAAACAGATTAAGAGGGCGTAACCTCGCTCCAACTTTAATTTATCAACTATTTTTACTCGCGTCCACTGTTCTGAGCGGAAACTGCATCCAAGTTGATATCAACAAACTCTGTAGGGTCAGGGCTACAACTCAGTGTGCATTTGGAGTCTCCTGGTCGAACCCCAGGGGAGTGGGATGGTCGTAAAAAACTGTATTTTCACTCTTTGAGTGCTACTTCTGATTCAAGAGCTAAATTTGAGCCATTTTCTCTCTCTTCTCCGTGCCAGGTATATCACGACAAGCAAGAGGGGGGGGGGGGAGGGGAAGGGGGGGAATGAATAGGTCTATCGGGTCTGGGTCTATTGGTCAATATGCATTAAGTGCCCCGTTGACTAATTCCAAGGGGAATGGGGCGGAACACAAAGCCGTAACGCGAATGTATGTTTCTGTGCTTTTCCTATAATGATTAGCAGTAGCAGCACAGGGCTATTGTTTTAACTTGATTAGGATTTTACTTGAATCTCACGCGGGATATCAGGAGTTTTAGGGAGTTTTAGGGAGTATTCAGCAGGACGTGAAAGTGTCAACAGGACGTGAATGGCTACAGCAAGCGGAGATCTTGGTGAGATTGTTTTCCCTAGTTAATGGGACTGTAAGGGTTTTTAATACTGAGGGGAGTTGAGTCATCTTGCCGGCCCTCTTTTCAAAACTCCATTCATATGATATAGACATAACTATATTTTAGCTTCTTTATGCAGTCACCTACCTAAATACCTCTATAAAATTTGACGACTTTTAACAAACATTTCATAGCCGAGAGCTACTGTACGGAAGTTGTAACAAGGGATTTAAGAGCATTCAGAACTAGTTATCTAAGAAACATATTAACTATCTCTTAAGGTGTCCAATTCAATCAAATATAAAATATTTAATACACGTCTGGTGTAATAGCCTCTATCATGGCTATCAAATTACACAAAGGAAAGCAACATTAAGGAGGATAACCATAAAATAATAATGATGATATAAAAAAAAACAACTAATTACAAGAAACATTTACGTAAGTAACAATAACTTACATATTTACATTTAAATTCAAAGAATCAGCTGTGATCTGTCTAAATCATAGAATTTTGTTGGGTGTTTCAGTGTAGCAAATAATTGTAGTCCCTATATCTGTTGAGGATTTACAATAAAATTTTAATGATGAACTTTCATTGTTGGTTGTCATTTTGGAGGCTATTGTGTTCCTAAAATTAATTTGATCATGTGTACATCGTTTCTGTGGTGGTAATGCATTAAAACGTGCATCAAAAAACCTACCTCATAGCATGCATCTACCTAGGTACTTGGTAAACTCCACTAAGGAAAGACTCTATAGCTTGTAGCCCTATGCATGTACCAGTCGTTTAAGGAAACCTTATGCTTTACGTTTATTAGAAGACTGGGCTGTTTCTTCTTGTGGCAGCAGTGAATGAATATTTCATTCTCTAAAGATGACACAGACTCTTAACCGCTTGAATTTCATGAAGGGCCTTCTGTAACGCAGATACATAGTGCTCCTCAAGATTTTCTGTATGAGGGCCCTCAAGAGCCTGAAAGATCAAGGAGAGAATCTCAAACAACTTTCCAGACTTGGCTGACCTGGATGCATCAGAGTCTTTCAGAGGATCTGTTTCATGTTTGGCAATTCCAGACTGAATTAAGGGGTTTGTTACCACCGTTTGTGTGTCTTGGTAGAGTCCGTCACCAAAGAAAGGTAGATTGGGGACAATAGAAGAGACTGGATGCACCTGTGGTATGCAAGGTTGTGTTTGATTTCCAAGCACTCGGATCCCTTGGCTGAAACATGGTCTTAGTATGGCGCCTAACTGACTGGGAGAAGAATCATTTTGTTCATAGAGGAATGACCGGTCAGTGTGGGTGTTACTGGGAAACTGATCCAGAATCCCCAAGCTTTGAAGGTCTCTCCACCATTGCTCCATATCTCCATTTGCGGCGACGCTGCTCATTTTACAGTCAGCAGCATTTTTCAGGCTCGTATCCGTAGTTGCCTTAGATTTTTCAGCTCTTTTGCAGTCAGTGCTTTTCTTGATAAGGTTACCAAGCTTTGAGTTGATGCACATTGGAAGCACACAGTCTGAATTTGAGCAATGCACACCATTCTCTGTAATTGTGTGGTTGGGATCTTTCAGCATTGCTGAGGACATTTTTATTCCGCGATCTGAAAAAAACTGGTGAACAAAGTCATCGCAAAAAGTCGTTAATCAAGATTTTCACGGATCAGCGTGTTTTGAGCCAATTCTACAGCTGCCTAAGGTAAGAAGCATTGTCGCAAATTGGGTGGAGAATAACTTTTTACCACAAAGTCTGCAGGCAAATGGTCATTTTTTTGCATGGCGTGATTTTCGATTGAGAACGAAGCACAAATTTCGGAATGCATTTCGCTTGCTTTATTAAATTATGGCAGAGTACTAACAATGAGCTCTGTTATCAACCTGGTAATTCGCAACTTTTGTTGGCCGTGTGAACTTCACTTTCAATGCATTAAAATGAATAAGCCTATTTACGTGTTTTAATGACACCTCTTTGAAATTGGCCCACGTTTTCTGCCAACTTTTAATTTGCTCCTCTCTAATTTGTAGATTTTTTAAAAAATTATTGATATTTTAAAATATCTATTTTTCAGTAGAGCAAAGGTTCTAAAATGCTCTCTGATAAAGCAAAAAATGAAAATATGTTGATAAGTATTTATGATTCTAATCCCTGAAGTCGAGGCATGCATAGCTTTAATTTACAGAAACACGAAACTTTTTCATCCATCAATCTTGTGACTTCTTTACGAATGCTTGACTTTTTCTAGAACCAGTACCTTATGATGGTCGTGCAGGATACAAAATTTGATCGATGTGTGTTCACTAGGCTTCATATCGTTGTTTATATGGTACAAGTGAAGCAAACGGTAACGATAGTGAAATAATGAAAACAGTTTTCTTTACTATAGCTATTGAGCCTTCAGAAAAATTGAAACGTTCCTTCGTAACACTTTCACGAGTTGTGGTTTACAGAAACAAACGATACTTACTTTCAATGTATGGACAACGTAAAGATTATTTTCGTTTTCGAGTAACAATCATTGGTATTTTACCAGACAATACAATTCCTTTTACATCCCCTCTTGCAAAACAAATATCAAACAGTTTGCGTTATGTTTCCAAGGACTTAAATTTTTCAATTCTCTGAATATAGAAATCCAAAACATGGGCACATTTTCCCTGTTTAAGTCTTAGTTGCGAACATTACTCCTTAGTTGGCTCCCTTGTTGTTGTTCTTTATTTATTTATTCTTTTTTATTATTATTGTTTTTTCTTACTTTTCTCACCCTGCTTAAGAAAATGTTTGTTTGAGTGCCTACTATTGATGTTATTGTTTTATGTGTGTGCGACCTTTCCTTTTCAACCTTAAATATTTTGTACATAAATCACGCCATAAAACTGATACCTCACTTTTGTAAAATATGAGGAGCCTGTAGCTCGCAAAAGCTTCTTAGTTTCCCTAGAGGTTTCCTCGCCCCATGCTAAATCTTCGGCCATATCATATTAATACTGTGGATAACTAAAGTTTGTACTTAAGTTATGCCGTCTTTATCGTTTGGTTTCGTTTAGTGGTAATCTACTCTTGCATGCTCTCTATTTTCCTTCCTCGGCATTCACACAATCGCTATTTCCTAGGCAGACAAAGCCTTTCTTTTCTTTACTTCGACTGCCAAGCTATGGAATTCTATTAACTCACGTTTCAGTGTAATCTGCCTTACATTATAATGTTGTCAGTCACGTCTTTGAACTCTTGCGGTTATGGATATGATTTTTAATATTTTTGTCAAGGGGAGGTCGTTGAGTAATAATCTCAGTATCACCTGAACGCTGTCATCGCCGGCGAAAAACCCTACAGACCTGAAAATTGGGCAAATTTTATTTTTATCAATATTCTAAAATAGCCCACTCTCTTGGATTTTGGTGGCGTGAGAGAGAAAATCACCAATTGGCCAGCGTAAAGATTTTCGAAACTCCGACTTCAATACGTATCCGATTTCACCGCTATTAAGCTGTTTTTTTTTTCAGCCTGTGAAAAACAAATTATGTTTTCTCGTTTATAAAATTCTATTTTACGCCTCGGTGGAAGTTTAGATAAAGGTCAAAAACCTTTGCTGGGTACTGGTGTTTGACTGGATATAATAAACGACAATCAAGTTGCCGTTCTGCTCTCTGTTCCCGCATCTTTCCCTCAAATAAATAAACAACAAGCAAGTTGCCGTTCTGCTCTCTGCTCCCGCATCCTGCCCTCAAATAATCCCGCTTCTCGCTCTCTCCCGCCACCTGTTTTTCTGGACTTGCGCCCTCATGTAACTCTCCACATATTTGCAAATGAAATAGCATGATGTGAGAAACGTTATTTTCATATGCTCGATGTTGGCTGAATGATTTAACATCGGATGTATAGCCAAGTAAATTATGCGGTTATGTGCTGCAGGCTAACTGGAAGTTGAACCGGAGAGGTTGGACAAATTCACAAAAATCCTGCGAACGGGGCCATCAGAATGGGAAAAGGCAAAAAAAATTGTGCTTTAAAATTTCGTTTGTGAAACATGGTATTGATGGTCCATACTACATCAGTGTATCCGCTCTGAACTTTGAATTTACAACGAGGTGTCCTTTTACACTGTCCTAACTCGCCGAGGGAATAAGTCTTAATTCAAGGAAACAGTTGCAAACAAATTTGCTTAGGCCAGGGGTTAAAAATCGATACTAGTAAAGACCTTAAATCGGAAGTTTCAAGGAATCGCTTGTCTCAATTTAAATAGTACAGTTCCTATGGATACATACATACATGTCAGCGGATGAAAAGTGCAAAAACAGTTGACTATAGCCATGGATTCCTACCTTCTCAAGAGCTGTGCTTGAGTTTCCTTATTAAAGTAAATGAACTTAACTTTGAGAAATTTGTCGCTTTTAAGGTCGAGAGACTAACCGACAACTACGTGACCATGATCGTGTTATCGGTATGTAAGAATCAATTGTGCAAGGGGCGAAGCCAATAAACAAATAAATACGTGACCGATGTGAATCTGTTATTGGTGTCATCAAACATATTTGTGACACGTACGGTCCATTCAAACAAACGAAATGTTAACCGTATGCCAGAAACTATTTCCTCGTTTAAATTTACAGATACATCACCTGTTCAAAGGGGTCAGTAGTTACGAGCATGAAAGAGAACTTGAAAACTAAATATGAAAACTGTATACCTTGATAAAAACCATGATCCTTAGTATCAGTTCTGCTTAGTGGAACGCGGTGTCTAGTACAAACAGATTAAGAGAGCGTAACCTCGCTCCAGCTTTAATTTTTTTAACTTATTTTACTCACGTCCACAGGCTGAAAAAAGGCAAAGAGCGTCATGAGAAGTAGTTACTTGATCACTGTTGGCATCTTGTTTAGCGTTGTATCCAAGCAACTTATAGGGTCACATCGACCACAGGCTGAATAAAGCATATAGCGTTATTAGAAGTAGTTACTTGATCACTGTTTGCATCATGTTTAGCGTTGTATCAAAGCAACTCATTGGGTCACATCGACCAAGTGGTGAATGAAGCAAATAGCGTTATCAGAAATAGTTACCTCATCACTGATTGCATCATGTTTATTGTTGTATCAAAGCAACTTACAATGTCGACCTAAGTGGGTGGAACACTATCAAAACGTCTGTTGATGCTTATTATGCGACTTCCTCCTGGATCAAGTAAATACAGAATCTGTCTATTCATAACTTTTGTAATCGTATCAGAAAAAATGTCGTCGTAACGAGGAGGTAGCCAGCTTGAACTTAATGACTTCATTATGGATGTTTGACAAGTTTAAGAATGGGTAAATTAGCACACCTTACCTAGTGATCGCTACAAGATGTTGACAGATTGATGTGCTCATTTCTGTATGTTTTACTTCTAAGGTGCATCAGTGAGCAACAACAGAGGCTATGCAGTTTGATTAATGATAAAAATAAACTTCAATTACAAAACGATGCAGTTAGGACTTTTTTGTTGATAAAAATTTTCCCGAGGAAAGAAATATAAATATAAATACAGAATCTGTCCTTTCATCACTGAAAAAACTGTTTTGAGCGGAAACTACATCCAAGTTGATATCGACAAACTCTGTAGGGTCAGGGCTACAACTCAGTGTGCATTTGGAGTCTCCTGGTCTAATCCCAGGGCAGTGGGGTTGGTCCAAAAAAACTGTATTTTCAGTCCTTGAGTGCTACTTCTGACTCAAGAGCTAAATTTGAGCCATCTTCTCTCTCTTCTCCGGGCCAGGTATATCACACAACAAGTAAGAGTGAGGGGGAGGATGGACCCATTCATACATGAATGCATGAATGCATGAATGATGCGGACTGCTTGCACAATAGATGGAGAGAGAATGTTCGATAGACCAGAGTGGCTATCCAACATACAGATTCAGGGTTTCTTCTCAAGATTGTGTCCTCAATAGCGATCTAAAATACGACAAGATTCGGATGATACCACCGACGCAGACGACGAAGAGGACCACTTCGTAGAAGCATTCGCGTCAGATGTAGACGAAGAGTTGATATCTATGATGTGTGCTAGTTGGTAAGAGAAGCAAGGTTGCCAAGCCTCAAAGTCAAGATGCTAAGAGACATGTGCAAACATTCTGAGCTCGCATTGAAAATGTGAGATACGAATGCAGCACCTCTTGCATAATGGAGGAAATGATTTCGGAGTGCAGTTGTTACGCAATCTAGTTATGACGTCCACCCGTCATGCGAATGCGGTGTCCTTTTTCACAAGAACTCTCCAAACTAATGAACAGAGACTGCTATGCAAACAAGTGTGACGACCAAATGTTTTTCCTTTCAGCTAGAAATCCGAGCAATCGCTGCTTTATTAAGACGCGAGAAGTATTCAGGACGATTACACGATGGAATTACGTGACAGAGTCACTGGTCACGGTGTATTTCAGTGTGTGCTGTTATCGCCCGTTACACTAAATAGAATCCTGTAGTTTGGTTTGAAATGTTCATACAGGTTTGAATAGCGTAAGCTGTCAGAACTCAAATATGAAATAACAGAAGCCAAATTTTTAAAAAAGAGTTTGTGAGCGCTAATCAAATTATGATATTCGATACGTTGTTATTGACGTCTTTCGTCACGAGATGATAAAATTTGTCACATTTTGGCCTTTTAAAATGCTTAAAGTATTAATCGGTGTGGTCTTAAAGCTCTTTCCTTCTGCTTAAAATGATTAAAATCTAAGATTTATTGAGCAACTCATATAAAACGGTCGGAGTTTGCTCAATGAATTAATTTGCATAATCGGCTGTCACGCTAGCAGTATCGCCTAAAGTACGAAGTCACCCCGGTGAAGAAAATAAATAAGTGCAAGATGTTTTTATATTTTCTGCAGCCAAACATCTTATTAGCAGAAATCAAGCGGAGTTTTTAATGGTCAGGTCTGGACTTGAGCAATATCAACCAAGAAAGAAAGAGTACTTTCGACCACTTTCAGAAAGCTGTCCAACGAGTGTTTTAAATAAATTATGACGAGCCTCTGAATAAACAAATATCAAAATTGAAATGCATTTTATACACCTTATATATCACACAGTTTAAGGATACAAAATATTTCTTACTGCATGCGGTGTGACGCGAGGACCGGGCTATTCAACTTTTGAAATTTTCGATGTTGCAAGAGGTCGAAAAAGGGCCTTTTGAAGTTTTGACTTTTGAGAGCTCTAAAAATGTTATTTTAACGTATTTCCAGAAACTAATGTGGTTTTATTTACTTGTTACCAAAGATAGTTTATTAAGCAAAATTTGGGGGAAACTTTTTTTTTCTGATGCGAAATGCCCTGGACTGCTCTTACAGAGATCGCCATTTAATAATGGTAATAGGACCGATTGGAGTCTACCTTGATCTGTAATCATACGAGTGATCAACAAAATCGGTCGACCGCGAAGCGAGAGTCCGATTTGTTGATCACGGTATGATCACAGATAGAATTGGACGACAGGAAGTCCTGTTACCAATTAATCAAAACTATGACAAAATTCCAGAAAGAAACTAGGTCAAACCGCGGCTAGACATTGGTTATACGTTTTCTTAAAAAAAAAAAAAACAACAACAACAGATAACTCGGCGAAATGCGAGATAACAGCGCGTGCCCATGATGCGTTCTGTCCACTCGTACAGGCATGACATGTTAAATGTCCCTTGAACTGTCCTATTACACTTTCTTATTACAAGCATGACGCGCGCAAATCGGGCTGGTGATAACCAATCACGTTCGTGAATTTTTTTATGGTTTTGAATTTAGTGAGAACATGATAAGAAGGATGAATGATAAACGTAACAGTGAACATGACAACTCTGTAGCGTTTAGCTCTACAATAATCAAACAACGAAACATTTTTCATAAGTGAGGTGCAGTTTTTTCATGTATTTTGTCTACAACCACTTTAATCATTTCGCTTTTCAAGCTAATTGTTTAGATCTAATCCAAGGAAGCACAAAAGCCATATTTTTGTCTAATTCAAGATTGCGGCACACATGTTGATTTTTTTCTCAGAAGAAATCCGACGTCGATCTAAAAAGCTAAGAGTCTCGAAACCTCTAACTTCTAACCAAAAACTGCCGACCGCGGTTCGACATTTGCGATGAACACTCCAAAGGTGGAACTAAAACTCTTTACTGACTACAGATAGTAATTGATACTTGGAGTGTGCAAAGGCGACGGTCTCTGTTTCAACACTTTGTTGTGATAAGTTTTGTCGAAAGGTTTTGTATTTAAGCGTCAAGAATAATTGGACAATTGCCTGCTTTATAAATTGTACAAAGTAGCAGTTACGACATCCTATGATTTAAATGATTTAAAGTAGTAGTAGCCGTTGTCTGGATGGCTTTTTTTAAATAGTAACTGAGATTCGTGTAAATTAATCCTAGTAAATTATCAGAATCATACATCCCATCTTCTTTTTAGTTAGCAGTTCCTATTCAGCTATTTAATTGGAGATCTATTCAGTGCATGTTGATTTGTTGTCACAAATCATCCTTAGTGTCAACCTCAATAATTTTCAAATTATTTAGTTAGTTTTCAAACGTCCTTTTCTTAATTATTTTCTTCAAGATTTCTCAGGAGCATCTTAGCCGGCAAAACATGCTTAAAAAGTGTATGACGCATCACCGGGAAATTTGCTTCAGTCTTATTTGTTATTAAACTGAAGTCATACCTTTTCCTAGATCACAGACGCTTTGATCACGCCACGTACCATCACGTAGCTAGCTTAGCGTTGTTATTAAATATCCTGTAGCTATTACAGTCACAGGATCACGAGCACTGGCCCTTTCTATTATGCAAGTTGGCACAAAACTGAAGAACCTTAGGCCTTCGTAGTCGTACCGTAGATAACTTAAGTTTGTACTTAAGTTATGCCGTCTTTATCGTTTGGTTTCGTTTAGTGGTAATCGACTGTTTCATGCTCTCCATTTTCCTTCTTCGGCATTCACACAATTGTTATTTCCTAGGCAGACAAAGCCTTATCCATTAACTCACGTTTCAGTGTAATCTGCCTTATATTATAACGTTGTCAGTCAAGTCTTTGAACTCTTGCGGTTATGCTTATGGATGCCTACCTTTTCAAGAGGTGTGGTCGAGTCTCCTAATTAGAGTGTATGGACTTAACTTTAGGAAATTTGTCGCTTTTAAGGTCGAGAGACTAATCGAAAATTACGTGAACATGATCGTGTTATTGGTATGTAAGAACCAATTGTGCAAGGCACGAAGCCAAGTAACTGATTAGTACGTGATCGCTGTGAATTTGTTATCAGTCTCACCGAGCACATTTGTGACACTTACGTCCATTCAAACAAACGAACCTTTATGGAGTTCCATGGGAACTGATGTCATGTAAATGTTGAAATGTTAACCGTATGTCAGACATTATTTCCTCGTATAAATTTACAGATACACCACGAGTTCCAAAGGGTCAGT